CTAGCCATAGATAAGGCCGTGTAAGTCCTCCTTTAAGTATACTAAGCCATGAGAGATAAACACGTACTATACTAAATATATAGATCCCTAGAAGCGAGGGGTATACCTTAAATACGAGAGTATAGAAGAGACGCCCGTAGACTATATATATATATATACTATATCTAGACGACCGAGGCCTAGGAAGAGTAGAAGGAAGTAGTATAATATCGTAATAGGGCCCTCCGTAATAAATAATAAAAATAATAGCGTATGATTACTAATAAACACACACGGTAAGCCGTAGGGCTATAGTGTATAGTAAAGTAGGCTAAGGGTATAGACGCGCCGACACCGCCGCTACTAATACCTCCCCTAATATACTAAGAGAGAATATACTCTATAAGCCCGGAGAAGACGGAGATCTTATATAAAGTTATGTTCCCCCTCCCGGAGCTAGTAGACCTATTAGATATTAATAATACTAAATATCTAGATATAATCGATATCCCCTAAGAGGTTACCGAGGAGAATATACTCGACGCTATTAAAGTACTCCCGAATAATAAGGCACCCGGACTAGATAGGATACTAAATAGATGCCTTAAACGCACTATACTAGCTACCCTACCGCTTATTAGTTATATATTTTAAGTATATATTAAGAACGGATACCACCCCTAAAGCTTCCGGGCCGCCTATACTATTATACTTCTAAAACTAGGGAAGAACCCTAGCTCCCCAAAAGGATAGAGGCTAATCGCCCTCCTCTTCTATCTTAGGAAGATACTAGAGGCTACGATTACAAAGAAGATAAGCGCCGTAGTATAGGAATATAACCTCCTCCTAGTAAACTAGAAGGCGAAGACTAGAAGCTCTCTAATTACCGCTATCTAATATATCCTCGAAGTCGTCTAGACCGTATAGAAGTAGGGACGTATAGTAACGCTACTCTCCCTTAACATGGCCGGCGCATTTAATAAAGTAAACCACACGAGACTTATCTATAACTTACGGAAGAGGCGTATACCCGTGTAGATTACGCGGTTTATATAGTCCTTCCTCGCTAAAAGAGTTACCTAGATATACATCTCTAGATATCGAAGTAAGTACGAGAAGACGGCTTACGGCATCCTATAAGGAAGTACTATCTCTCTAATCCTCTTCCTCTTCTTTACTATAGACCTTCTCTAGAGAATATAATATATAGAGGTAGTAGGATACGTAGACGATACATACCTTCTAGCCATTAATAATAATACTAGCCAAATATATAGACGACTCGAATAAGACCATAGAAGATATATCTAATAGGCAAAGCGCTACGGAGCAAAGTTCGCCCCTAAAAAGTACTAACTTATATACTTTATTAACCGCCGTAGGAAATGGGCTACTAGGGAAGGTAAGCGACGCCCTAGAATAGACGCCTTCGACGAACCGCCGACATAAAGTATACGCGTACTTAGCGTTATAATCGATAATAAGCTTAAATAGGGACCATAGGTAGTATATACCGTTTCTAGGGCCCTCTAGATAGAAGCTACTATATAACGGATTATAGCCTCCACGTAGAGAACCGCCCGGGATAAGGTACGCTAGCTATATATATCTATAGTACGACCCGCCTTCACGTACGGACACGAGTGCTAGTATACGGCCCTTATATAGACTAGGCGAATAAAGCTCGAATCTATATAGAACCGTATACTCCGTCTTATATTAGGCGTATATAAAGCTACTAATATAGTACTACTACGACGCGAGATAGACGTTATAAGTATATATAACTTCTACTAGATATAGAGGGTAGTATACTTTACTAAATAATAAGCATAGGAACGTATAGAAAATATAGAATATACCTTCGCCGCGCTACGCGTGCGAGTTAGCGTATACTACTAAGTACTCTTATATATAGGCCGGACTCGACTATGGTATAAGTGCCCGATAGAAATAGACTTAAACTAAGTAGTATAAGAGATTAAGAATAACCTAGATACCCTTCTAGACTAATAGAGTCTTTAAGAGCTCGGATAAAGTATACGGTTATAGATCTAAGATAAGTAGAAAGAGACACTCCGGGCCTAGTGGGCCTCCTAGTAGAATAGATACCTAGAGTAGATCCGAGGACCATAGAAGGAGCTAAGTAAATAGATATATAAAGGGCTTATAAAGGCCTAGATATCTATACTTCTCTAAGCCCGAACGGGCGCTATAGAACTTCTATACTACCTCTATAAGAGAGGTATCCCTAACGTGTCTCTATAGTATAAGGCGTGCGGCCGGAGAGGTATAATACGCTACTATCTTATAATATACCCCGATCTTCACACGTAAAGGCAGAAGCTTATCCACACGATAAGAACCTCTAATATTATATGATAGCTTAATAAGTACCCTAAGGATATCTCCTAATAGATACTTATATATCTACTACTCCTCTAGTACTAGTAGACCTAGAAATATATACTAGAAGAGACCCGGTATACGCTAGTAGTAACCTAATATATACTGGAAGAACCCCGGGAGAACCCTAATTATTAGTTAAGGGTAGCCCTTAACTAATAACCTCCGTACCTATACGTACTACCTAAGGGTAAAATAATAGTAATATAGGCTATAGGCTAATAGGCGTACTCTATAGCTATATACTTAAGACGAAATAGAGGTTTAACGAGATATAGTTATAGATATAAGGAAGTTTTTCCCTATAGGGTTTCTTCTTATATAGTGGCTTAGACTAGAGGAGGCATAGGCCTATAGAGTACTACTCTATCTAGTTATATAATATTATTATTATTATTATTATACTTTAGTTATCTAGATATAATATATATATATATATATATATAGTCTCTAGGCTTCTTATCTATATTCTTATATTTAAGGTATACCCTTTATATCTAGAGACTTATATATTTAATATAGTATATATTTATCTCTAGTATTCTAGTAGACTTAAAGAAGAACTTATATAGCTCTATCTATAGCTAGACTATTAGATATATTAACTATAGAGAGATCTAGAATTACTAATTCTAGATTCTCTATATACTTTTTCTAGTTAGTATTCTTTTAGAGCTATCTCCCTTATTATTTATTAGATATAGATATATCTTCTATAGTTTCTATATACTTATAGTTAGAGTCTATCTATATCTTACTTAGATAGTAGTATTATACTCTATAGCTTATATATTTAGTAGTAAGGGTAAGGTTAAGTATAGATCCTTTCTTATTCTATTTATATTTCTTCTATATAACTTTTCTAATAGATATAAGAAGGTATAGAAGGTCTTAGTATTATATATATTATTCTTTTACTCTAAGTTCTTTTCTTATAACTATTAGATCTCTCTACTATCTATAGTAAAGATTAAAGTTATCTAGTAGAATATATTATTCTAATATTATAATACTTTCTAGTATAGTATCTAGTATAAGTAATTCTTTCTAGTTATAAATATTATAGATATAGAGAGACTCTAAATTTATCTAGAGATATAATATTATTTAGAGATTATCTTATTTTATATAGAACTACTCTAAGAGTAGAATTAATTTATATATATAGAATAGAACTCTTCTATCTAGGCCTAGAAGATAGATAGTATAGTACTCTAGATATATTATTAGTTTATTAGTTTAGTTATATTTATATAGTTTCTAGATAGCTATTATTATAGTATCTATCTCTTCTAAGAGTATTATCTAGTTTTCTTATTTATATTATATATTTATCTATATAATAATAAGTATATCTTAGCTTCTTATTAGATACTAGAAAATACTTAGATCTATATACTAGTAGTATTAAGGTATAATTATCTCTATATAGAAGCTATTTTAAGGATATCCCTAGATTAGTCTATCTTTCTCTACTTACTACTCTAAAGAGTTTTTAAGTATATATATATAATATCTCTATATATTAGTACTATTATATATTATATACTAGGTATATATATATTAGAAGTTATTATACCTAGTATACTCTATTAATTAATATATATAGATTACTATATTACTCTAAATTAACTAGTTTTAGTCTCTTAGAGTATAGAAAGTTTTTCTATCTAATTAAAATTATAAGAAAATAAGTCTTTAAGTTAAAAAAAAGTATATAGCTATACTAGAGATAACTATACCCTATATAATAGATATACTCTTTATTAGTATTAAGGTATAGAATATAAGTAAATCGTTAGTTAATTAGATTATAAGAACTAGATAGTATAGTAGTAAAGATTCTAAACTACTATTTACTTATAACTCTATATCTATATATTATCTCTATATATATAGAAAGACTAGAGTTATTATATACTAGTATATATCTATTCTATAACTACTAAGTAGAGTTATAAGTATATAGAATAAATAGTTATAGAGTAAGAGACTAGATAAAAGATTATATAGATATATTTTTAATATTTAATAGAAGAATCCTTCTATTACTAAATCTATATTATAAGTATATAATTTATAGTTTTAGATTAATAGATCAAATAATAGAAAATATAGATATATTTCTAATATTTAATAGAATAATAACTCTAGAAGTACTAGAAATACTTAATAAGAAGTAGAAGAACTCTAGAATCTATTTAGAATAATACTAGAAGTACTAGAAAGTCTAAAAGTATTAGAAGTATTATTTAGTCTCTAATATAGATTATATATTATATAGAAATTATAATAGAAGATTATATAAGAGTTTCTATATCTATAGCTTTATCTTATATATTATAGCTTTAATAAGAGAAGATAAAGTTATTAGAGTACTACTCTATTCTATATAATATAGATTTTTATTATACTTAATATTATCTACTATAAGTAATTAGTTAGAATTTATCTAATAGTATAATTAACTATTTTATTTATATAATTTAACTTAATCTATTATATATAATCTCTATACTAATTTCTCTATTCTATATATATATCTATGAATATCTTATCTTATCTACTATATATTACTATAAGTACACGTGTTTTGTCTTATCGTGTTGCTTGGTATATCACCTACCTTCAGTTTTCTCTTCACCACCTGACCACCTATCTGCCAATGGCATCTCCTCCAAGTTCTCCACCACTGGCTATATTACCGCAGCGGCCCTCTAACAAACGTCAACGCTCCGGTGAAGTTACCGACTTCTTCTCTAGTGATCCTGCGCCCGTCTTCTCCTCAGATGACTGGCAAGATGCGTCGATAGAGCAGTATGAAGCACCGCGGAGGAAGAGAACATTCAGGGGCCCATGGTGGAAAAGCTGCAAGAGATGGGAGCCTGCAACTATGCTGACATCAGAATCCCATGTGATGTCCCTAGCAAGGAACCTTGACAGCGGTGTATGGATAGACAACGATGATAGCATTGCGTTATCGTCCTCTTTATCGACTCTACTTAACGGCCCTACTACTACCGATACCTCCTATCAATTGACATTTTGTCCTGATTGGCAGCAAAAATACCCAGCGCCATTACTTTCACAGGCTGAGCTGCAGGCTCAAGGATTAGTCGAAAGTTGCCTCGAGCAAGGCACGCAATATGTCGACATGAGGTATGTATGGTCTTCAAACCATGGTCATAGGATTCTGATTTCAAGCAGCAACTTGGGCTTGGAAAAATTAGATGGGAGCATAATCCAGCCGATTAGGGCTTTCAGTACTGTTCCCATGGCATGCGACCGCGACTTCCGACCACAACTTAAGATCCTATTGTCAATGAACTCTCTTCAAACTTTGCCGAAAGAAATCTGGGAGCTAAATCATATCGTTCACCTCGGTTTACGTCAAAACAGATTAGAGACCTTATCCCCCAACATAGCAAAGCTCGTAGATCTACAGTCCCTCGACATCACTGGAAATAAAATCCGCTGGCTTCCATGGGAGCTTCTATCATTGATCACCCCGTCGAGGAGCCTGGCGATGTTTCACGTGGAGCACGGAAATCCCCTACTCATGCCATTCGAAGGCTTGCCCGAGTTCCCATCATGTATACGTGAACTAGCCATAGGCCACCATCAAGATTTTGTACAAACCAAGCCCGAGACCAATTCCGGCCACGCAACTGAGATGCAGAGGTGGCTTTGCAGAATCGGTGAGACAATCCATGCAGGCAAATTATATGGTGAGGGTTTATCTAACAGCCACTGTATACCCTCAAAGCCGTGGCTCGTAGGATGCTCGGAAATGGCCCGCTTTAGTAGCGATGGTACACTCGCTAACGGTTCACCAATTGCTCCTTCACTCGTACCTCTAGAACAGAGATCATTAAAGGCGTATTTGGTGGACGATCTGCCCCAGCCACAACGAATATCTTGTAGTCGTGTGGGCTCTCTTTTTGAGCTCTCACTTCGAAGAGTAACAGCGTTAATATCTACAGAGCAACTTCGGAAATATGTACCAGATCTCCCAGAAGGGCCCTTCCAGCGTGCTCTTACAGAGGCTGAACACGTTCAAGCTGACGGAGGTCGTACTTGTTCTGTTTGTGGCCAATTGTACATCCTTCCTCGAGCAGAATGGATGGAATTTTGGCATGTTCATCGCTCTGGAGCTACGGCTGGCATCAACGGCCATCTTCTCCCATTTCTCCGAAGAGCTTGTAGTTGGCGCTGCGGATACACCGCCTTCTGTAATATAAGGAGTGCATATGGTAGATACGCCGCTAAGTGTACTATAAATTCATTTCCATAACAAGAGGATTAAGATAGAGACATAGTATATTAGGAATTAGCTATGAACGGAGCCCTTAGGCACGTGTGTAGGACGTGTCCTTCCATATGTGTTTTCGACTTTATAAGTAATGTTCTCTACCCTTAAAGTAGTTTAACATATCTACTAATAAGCTAACCTACTAATAAATATTATAATTTAAGTATAACTCTAAATATCTATAATAATAATATTATTATTATATAACTAGGTAGAGTAGTTTACTCTATAGATATATACCTTCTCTAGTCTAAGCTATTATATAAAGAGAAACCCTTTTTTTAAAAGAAAAAACTCTCTTCTCTTTATAACTATATCTTATTAAGTCTATATATCTTCTTAAGTATATAGCTATTAGATATATCTATAGATCTATAATTAGCTAGATAGTATAGTAGTAGTATACTATATTACTAGAAGCGTTTATTATCTAATATTATAGGTTTAAATTCTATAATAGCTACCTTTTTATATACTAGTTTTTATATACTCTACTAAAGATATATAGAGTTAAGTAAGTATATAATATAAAGATTACTATTATATAATTACTTAGTTCTAAGTAATAGTTAGATAATATAGTAGTATTATATAATAAAATTATCTAACTTAGCTATCTATCTATACTACCTTAAGTAGTAGAGCTAAGTCTAGAGTAGCTAGATCTAAAAAATCCTACTTAGCTTAAATTATAGAATATATATATAGAGCCTTATCTATCTCTATAGAGTCTTATCTACTCTAATCTAGCTTAGCTTATACTTACTCTAGCTTAGTAACTATAAAATAGATAGTAGTATCTAATTAAGTATTCTATCTACTAATAGATAATTATATAGTTCTAAAGAATAATTTCTAAATTTAGTCTAGCTAGGGTTAGTACTAAGGCACGGACCTATTAGATATATACCCTCTCTAGTATTAGTTATCTTAATTAATAACTAATATCTAGCGTAAAGCTATATTTCTATAGATAGAAAAAACCCGGTAGTATAGAAATAATAGACTAGGCCTAGCCTAGTAATCTATCTAATTATAGAAGAGATAATACTTACTATAGTTAGTTAGGGTATTATTAAGAGCTAATACTAATATAGTAATAAAAAAGTCTAATTTTAAAAAGAATAAGAAGTAAGTTTATTATCTAATAGAATTTAAGAACTTAGACTAGACTAGGTTAGATTAGTAATAGGGTCTAGTTAGAGAGCTAATTATAGAAGGTTTTCTTATATATATAGTAGCTTAGACTAGAGAAGGTCTATACCTATAGAATATATATATAGCTATATATATAGTTCTTCCTAGTTAAATACTAATATTATTATATTATTATAGATCTATAATCTATATTACTATTATTTTATTCTTAGATAATATATATAGAGTATAGAGATTATTAGCTAAGGGTTACCCTTAGCTAATAATTAGAGTTCTTCTAGAGTTCTTCTAGTATATACTAGAGTCTATCTAGTATATATCTAGTTTCTTCTAGTATATATATTAAGATCTACTAGTACTAAGAGAGTAGAAGATATATAAGTATTTACTAGATAATTTTCTTAAAGTACTTATTTAGCTAATATATAATATTAGAGGTTCTTATTATAGAATAAGTATTTATCTTTATATATAGAGATCTAGATATATTATAAGATAGTATTATATTATATATCTCTAATTATATACTTTATACTATAGAGATATATCTAGAATATCTCTCTAGTATAGAAAGTATAAAAGTTCTATAGCTTCTATTTAGGCTTAGAGAAGAATAGATATTTAGACTTTTATAAGCTCTTTATATATCTATTTACTTAGTTTCTTCTATAGTTCTTAAATCTACTCTAAATATCTATTCTATTAGAATATCTAATAGACTTAAAGAGCTTCTTTCTACTTATTCTAGATCTATAATTATATAGTCTATATAAGTTTTTAAGGGTTCTACTAGTATAAGAAGGTATCTAGATTATCTTTAATCTCTTATATAATCTAACTTAAGTATATCTCTATTAGATACTTATATTATATTTAAATCTAGTCTATATATAGAAGTACTTAATAGTAGATACTAACTTATATATATAGTATAGTAAAAGTATATTCTATATATTCTATATATTTCTATACTTATTATTTAATAAAGTATATTACCCTCTATATCTAGTAGAAGTTCTATATATTTATTATATTTATCTTATATTATAGTAGTACTATATTAGTAGCTTTATATATACTAGATAGGCTACGAAGCCTTATAAACCGCGTCCACGTTATCGTAGCTAGGCAATGCCTCTATAGAGGTAGTAAGAGATTCGGAGCGGCGTTAATAGTAACCTAGTCGTCGCTAGATAGATGGTTAAAGAGTTTTCGCGGAGCGTCTACCTTACTAAACCACGCTAATATAACCTAGCTAGGGAAGTATATACTTCTATTCTATCCCTAATAAACGCGTTAAGAGAAGTTCACGAGAATAAAGGGATAAGAAAACCATCTAACGCGCTACTACTATGTCGAAAGTAGGCCTAAATCTATTTTACTAACTAGGTAGAGGAAGCGGAGATTCTAGTAGCGTGATAGGATACCTTAAGGCTTAAACGGCTCTAGGAACGTAAGGAACACGTCGAGGGTAACTAAGAAACTACTACTAGAAGAACTTATTAAAGCTAACTCTTCTATAGTATTAAACTACGTTTATTAAGCTATCTAGTACGACTACTAGTAGTATAACTCTATTAAGACCTTTCGCTCGATACGAGATACTACTTTACTACTAATAGGTAGAGTAGCTCCCGCGTACGAGAGATGTTATAGTCTACTATAGAAGGTGGGATACTAGAGTATATAGATAATAGTATATAGATATAGATAGGAGGCAGCTATAGGGACCCTTTAAGAGTAGTAGAAATAAGTCGGGTTAGTAGGAAGAGAATACCTAAGTCGCCTAGGCGTATATACGTAAGGGATTTAGAGGATACTCTCCTATAAGATATAGTTAGCCTATTATAGAGAGATCCTTATAGGTAACACGAAACTAAAAAGTAGTAATACTTAAAGGCGGGGCGTGGTATATAGTAGTAACTACTAGCTCTAAGGACCTTACCTCTTTAATAGGCTCTAACCCTTAATATATCTAGAAGTAGATAGAATTATATTCTAGCTAGAGAGACTACTATATAGCCTAAGAGAACGGATATATATATTAATTTATAAAGAGATAGAACGTATCGCCTATAAGGCATATACGCTAGTATTATAAGTTTAAGGAGTAAACCTTATAGTTACCTAGCTAGGAGAGGCTTCGGTTACCTCTCCTAGTAGAGCCGGAGGTATAAGCCTAGAGGGAATAAGATAAGGCGAAAACAGGAGTAGGGCCTAATGGTATAGGGCACGTCGAACCTATAGGAGTTATCTAACTCCGAACTAGAGGCCTAACGGACCAAACTGGTTAATTCGGGGTAAAACAGCGATTTACATACATTAAACAATAGAGTACACCGAGTATAACAACCTCTAACACACGTGCGTACATGTAGCGTATAATACACGATAATACCGACGTATAGAGATACTATATATATACGCTCGAAGACTCTTTAATAATATAAGTATAGACTATATCTAATAAACGCTAATACGCTAACCCCCTTTTATTAGTTAAGGGCTACCCTTAACTAATAACTATAGCGGCCTTAGGTATCGTAATACCCCGGTATACGCCGGATATACCCCTACTAGTATAGTAGAAACAGCTATATAGCGATATTAATATAGATAGCTAGATATCTATCTAAAATATAGGAACTAACTAAGGGTGCGAAGCGCTATAGATAACCTAGACTAAGGGGACCCTAAGAGAGAAGACCCTCCTAGATAAAATTAAATACTAGATAATATATATAGAGAGGGACGCCGAGGAGGGAAAGAAGACCCTCCTTTATATATTCTGAGACCTTATCCGGAATCTAAGAGAAATTATAGAGGAAGAAAGGAAGTCGTTACGAGAGGAACCTAGTAGTAGACTTAACTAAATAGAAGCTAGTCTACGGAGAATCTAGAAAGAGCTATTCTAAGGTAAGCGCCCTAACACGTAGGCTTAGATTATAGTAACACCTAGAGCTACTATACTAAGGACTACTAGGACTATAGATAGAGTATATAGTATATATATCGTAATCTAGGATAAGGACACGCTAGCGTAGGTCTAATAGGTATCCCTAAAGGAAATTATAAATAAGATTAATAAATAGAAAGGAATATAGTCGAGTATTATAGCTACTAAAGTTACGCTAGGTAGGGTAGTACTTACTACTATAACGAATACTACGTAGTAAAACATCTCGCGAGATCTAAACGTGATAGGTAGTATCTTCCCCGGCGCGTCTATTAGGGTAGCTATATATCTAATTATAGTATATATAGTACCCGTATAGGGATAGGCTATTAGAGTAGAGAATATTACGTGTATAGAATAATCTAACACGCGAAAATATCTAGGGATTAAGATTATAAAAGCGTAGTAGAAGAATCTATAGACGATTAAGACGACGGCGAAAAAACACTCTACTATAATTATAGAGCTCTAAGACCCCGCCCTTATATAATATATTATATAGAAGGGATTCCTAATAGAAGGAGAGCTCCTTATAGCCGAGCTATAGGATAGAGTATAGATAATAATATAGTGCTTTAACTATTAAGGGTATAGATATACTATATAAAGGTACTTATAGAAGACTAAGTACGGATAGTACCGTAGGGACTATACTATCTAGAAGTGCCCTCACGAACCGCAAGGAGATAGACTAAGAAATAGAGATATAGTATAGTATTTAAACTACGACGGGAAATACCCGTTATAGTCATTAATATATATAAAATATAAATAGGTTATAGAATATATTCGCACGATAAAAGCGAGAGGCGTAAGATAGTTATAGAATATAATACCTACCACGAGCCCTTCCTTTATAATACCCCTAACCTCCTCTCTAGAAGGTAGTTAGGTAGGATAGTAGACTATTCTAAAGATAATAGAATAAC